TTTATCGGCCAGTTGGCACAATAAACTAACTACCTCAGGCAGGGTAAATTCTGGCCTGCCGGGTTAGGATGCAAGAAGGCACCTGAGGGAAAGTAGCAGGCAGAGGCTTGTGATCTTAAGGTGGGGCAGGGGTGTCCTCAGGAGCCTCTATTACATGTCACTTTGTTCATTCAGCCATTTGACAGGTTTCTTCTACCAAACTGAGTACGTATGGGGGAGACCTGGTGACATAGGGGGTTAGTGCTGGGCTAATAACCCCGAGGCCAGTGGCTCAAATACACCAGCAGGAGGAAAATGAGGCATTCTACTCCAGTGAGGATGTGCAGCCTTGGAAACCCAGAGGGGCCGTTCTACTCTGTCCCTAGGCTCACGGTGAGTCGAATCGACCCCATGCCACAGTCCTGAGTGAGAAACGGCCCGAGAAAGTAGTTCAGTAAGTGTTCTGCGCTCATGGTAAATAAATAATAGAATTCTCTGTGGTTGCATAAAATAATAAGTAGCAGGGATGTTCTTTAGGTACTGATGCGGTGTCTAAGAAAAGTCACTGTTAACTACTTTAGATTAAAAAGAGGAAGGGCTGTAAGTACCACCATTAGTCCTGTGAGGCTCCCTCTGGTGGTCTATATGGATATAGCATGGTCTCTGATGTCTGGCAGGCTGACTTCAAGGTTTGTCATTATACCTGTTGGATTTTGAAATGTGAAAACATCAGAATAAATAAGTGAGTAAGAAAACTACCCAATTAATAATATTTTTAAAAATCAAATCGAATCTTCAAATGACAAGAGGGCTGTATTATTACGGAACAGTGCGTTGCTGGTTAAATAACCTTAGACCAGGATCATTCATGTCAAATAGATGTACACATTATCTAGAAAAGACACACAAGTTAGTGGGGGAAACTGAGGCAGTCCTGCTCCTGAGTATAAAGCCAAAGGTCCATACTCATGGCCGGCCGCTCAGTCCGTTGGGACAAGCGGTCATGAGTCAAAATGCCCGTGTGGTTTCTCCTCTTTGGCGACAGGCTGCTGGGTCCCAACGGCTGACGGAGTGCTCATGCTGAGCACTGAGCCATGGAGCCACCATGGTTCCTTCCACCATTTAGGAGTGGCTGCCTCCATGCGTATGGACAGCACGCACTCATGTTTCCAAAGTGTGCACCTCATTTTCACGCTTGTCCACACAGCCTATTAGCAGACACAGGTGGAAGATGCAGGCTAAATTGAAACTGAGAGAAGCAACGTACCGAAGAGTCAACTGTAACCCATGCTGGGTAAACTCAATGAGCATGTGAGTGAAGGAAATGGCCGTGCTCTGACCAGTGCAGGGAGGCTGCGTCCTACACATGTCCTCGTCATGCTTAGGGCCCAGCCAGACCCCACGCTGCTGCTCTGAGAATCCTGCCAATGGCCACACCACTGGCCTCATTTTTCCTGATCACCCCTTTCTCCCTCCTGTGTGTGTGTACCCTTTGCCCAAAGAAGAGATCCCCCAGGGGCCTACTCACCAGAGCTCCACGAACCCTATCCCACCAGCATGTCAGGAGACTTGAGGCAGTTGAGCCAGTGGACAAGGGACAAGGGGAGCACTTAGGAGGCTCATGGCTACAAGCACAGATTCTGGGGCTAGAGAGCCTGGCCTCCAATCCCAGCTCTGCCCCTCCCTAGTCTCGGGACCCAAAGGAAGTAAGTAACTCCATGTCTTCTGTGCCTCAATTCCCTTCACTAGGAAGATGATAACAGTTTCGGAAACATAGCATGAAATGTGCCCCTTTAACCATTTTAAAGCATACAGTTCAGTGGCGAGAGTGAATCCGAAGAGAAGCCAAGAGCATCATGTATTTCCAAAGCTACATCCAGGAACAAACGGTTCGGCATTTGTGTTGGCGGTGTAAGGATTCCGTGAATTACTACATGTGTCGGGCTAGGACAGAGTGCACGGGGAGCCCACGGTGGTAAGCATCCTTACTTTCAGAAAGTCTGTGATTTCTCCGCTGTGGATCTAATTGGCTCGTACCTGACTCCCTCTGCTTCCTGTCCCTCCAGCCTCACTCCAGCCTCTCATCCAGCTTTGAGAAACGGGCCTGTGGTGAACAATGACCAGGAACCCACAACCCCAAGCCTGCCCAGGAGACCATCTTCCGTGTTATCTCCTCCCGGGCTGTGTACCATGAAGGAAGAGCATCCCAAGGTCTTTCAGATTCTGGAAGGAAGGAATCCTCACTTAGGAGGAAATCATAGCTGTTCAGTGACTCCATCCCCACCTGACACATCCCTCCCTCCGTCCCTGACTTTCACCCTTACACAGCAAGGGCTACCAAACCCTGCTGGTGTCCAAGCCCTGGCTGCCCTGTCGCTGAGAGGAAGAACCCCCAACTCCCAGATGCAGAACTTACTCGATGACAGTGTGCTTGGTTTGAGTTTTAGGAGACTCAGATGGTGGTGGTCATCTCCCATCTTTAGGAGACTCAGCGTGTGGTCTTCTCCCATCTTACATCCACCCCCGGATAAAAGCAAAAAGTGGGGAGGGGGGGGAAAAGGAAAATTAGCGGATTCCGGGAACCCAAGAGGCAAGCGAATTTTGGGAATAATGAGGGCAACAAATGTATAGATGTGCTTTACACAATTGATCTATGTATTGTGATGAATTGTATGAGCCCCAATAAATTGATTAAAAAAAAAAAAAAGCAAAAAGTGTATGTCCCCGTTGTGTTCCGGTACCTTAAACAGTGCAATCCAATATCATGTGTTGTGACTGTTGTTGTTGTTGGTTCCAACCCATAGCAGCTACCCTGTGCACAACAGTACAAAACACTGCCCGCTCCCCTCAACCCCCACCATCCTCCCAAGTATTCTAATGTTTGAGCCCGTTGCTGCAGTCACTGCGTCAGTCCATCTGGTTGAGGGTCTTCTACTTCCCCACTGCTCCCCTACTCTACCTAACATGATGCCCTTCTCCGGGGACTGGTCTCTCCTGACAAGTCCGAAGTATGTCAGATGAAGTCTCACCACCCTTCCCTTAAAACAGCACTGTTGGCTGCACTTCTCCCAAGACAGATTTGTTTGTTCTTTTGGCAGTCCCCGGTACTTTGCATGCATGCCACTACCTAGCTACAGGTGACTATGGAGCACTTGAAACCTACTTTGTGTGACCAAGGCATTGAACTGTTCATTCCATTTAGTTGTCATTTGAACATCAATGGCCACCAGTGCTTACTGCCATGGGCTAACCTTCCTAGTTAGCAGCTCCTCGGTGGGAAAAGAGGAGTCTGTCTCAGAACCCCTTATGAATCAGAACGGACCCCCCAGCAGTGGGATCGTAGACGACGACGTAAGTCCACCATGGCCAGCAGGACTCAGTTTTCTCACGTGTGCAGCATCATTACATGGTGCCAGTGTTGGCTCACATTTCCTCATTCTTAAAAAAAAAAAAAGGGTTTTTACCGTGTGTGTGTGTGTGTGTGTGTGTGTGTGTGTGTGTAGCAGGGGGGGGGAGGTGAGCCCTTCCACAACTAATCACAGGTTCAGTAGGCACAATTGTATGATTAAGATACATAAAGGTTATAATAAAGTCAGAGAGAGCATGAGAGAGAAGAGAGATTGAAATAATGGAGTCAGACACATTTCATAGTAGCATGCTCACCTCCTGGAGGGCCGTGATCTTACCAGCCAGGTTCGACCACCACACAGGCCGAGGTGAATTAGGGCAGAGACCTCCAGAGAGAGCCAGCCAGGGCTTATATCTACTTGGGGGTGGGGGGGTGGGGGGGGTAGTGATTACAGGAAAGGGCTGTACAATAAGTATAAGTGTGACCGGAAGGGGATGAGCTGGGGATGTACACATGATAGGAAGGGGAGGAACTAGGGGTATACATATGACAGGAAGGACAGACCCTAATTCATGATGGTGGCCTAACCTTGGTCACCCTTGGGTGGGCTTGACCTCCCTGGGCTCTCCTTCAGGGCAACAATTTACTACTATCCTTATCAGAAGGGAGTGGGCCCTATTTGTTGTGGGATAAACAATGGTGACTGCTTGTTCTAGATGACTGATAACCCTTAGGAAGAATAACCCCTGATCTACTTCTGTTGACCTCCAAGTGTATAGTCATTTACCATGTGTAGCAAGCAGTTAAGTTTGGCATATATTTGGGGGAGACTACTTGGGAGCAATCTTTCTGTTTCCCACACATGAGCCCAACTCATGTATTGCAAGTGGACAAAAAATTAGTACATGAGCAGTATCTGAAGAAATCTTGCCCTGGAATGAGAACTTCCCTTCCAGTAGTTGAAGTCTACAAGACGCGTCTGAAAAACACGCCTCAGGGGAAAATGGAGTCTGCCTAAATCGGATTGGTGCTCTTGCAGGATAACGCAGATGGTGGAGGAATGCTGACCTTTTGCTAGTGCTGCGAAGGCTCCCAGTTCCACCACTCCATTAGAACTTCTAACTCCATCCATATGCATCGTGTTACCGACCTTACAACGGGGGCGCTTCTGCCTATCTAGGTCCACATCCATTTGAAGGCTGTAGGTCCGCTTTGCTTAAATTGCCCGAGCCTGTGGGGGGCTGCCATCGTGTGTTGCTCTAAATCCTCTTTTCTGTTTGTTTTGTAAGACCCAGTGGGAACCTCCTGCTTCAATGTGGAAGGAGAGCGACTGAAGGAAGCAGCTCATAGGCTGCATGGTGAAGCCTTCTCTTGAGAGCCAGCAGACGCTGTGTCCCTACTGAGCAGACTCTAGGAGGCCCCCTCCCAGAGGCCACTGGGATGGAGAGGGGAGGAGAGCCCGGTACCAGGCAGCTTCAGCACGGCTCCTCTAGGGGGTGGAGAAGGCAAGCCCTGGTCATCCCGTCGGTCTGTAGCTCTTTTGTGCTAAGTGCCTGGCCAGGGTGACGTGAGCCATCCCTCTGGGAACAGCTGCAGCCCTGGCTGAAGGGAGGCAGGTCCCGGGCAGCACTGCCCTCCCAGATCCTCCCTTCTGACTTGTCCATGGTAAGAGGCATGCACCCCACCCGGCCTAACCCCACCTCGGGGGCTCTCTGTCCCCAGTAGCAGTGAAATGGCAAGTGTCCGGAGCTCCTCGCTGCTCAGCTGCCTCCCCTCCCTCCTCGTCCTGCTCCTCCATCTGTCTGTCAGCTATGCAGGTAAGATGTTCCCTTCTATTCCCGTCCTCGGGAGACCCTGCGACCTGAGAGGCCAGTTCCCCTGGCCTCACCTGCTTGCCTCGGCTCCTCCTCAAATGGCTAGGTGTGTCCTGTCTTTGTGGATGGGGTTTCCCTCTTCAAAACTCTTTGGAGCTTCCCTGCAGTCTTCAGCATAGAACCCAAGAGCCTTAACCTGCTCTTAACACCAAGCTTGCCTTAAACCAATTCTTTGTCCTCTGCTTTGGGTCTCTTGCCCGTAAAAAGGGGGTGTAGTAATCACACCGTCCTGGAGCTGCAGAGGTCCCCGGGTGGCACCAAAGGTCTGTGCTCCACTATTAATGTCAAGGCTGGCAGTTCAAGAGCACCGGGAGCGTGCTGGGGAACAGGCCAGGTGATCCGCCCCATCACTCATGGGGCGCTGTTCTCCTGTGGAACATGCAAGGTCGCCTGGACTGAGAGCTGACATTGACTCCATAGCAGCGGGCTTTCACCTTGGGCTTTAGAGCTGCTGTCAGTACTTGCTTAATGGTACCTGCCCTACGGTGAATGCTCAATAAATGTGTATTGAATTGCAACAGCTTGCTATGTTTGAGAGCTATATCTCATATCATCAGCAAGTTTTTATAGGCAAGCCCTATTCTCGTGTGCTGGAGGGGGACATTTTAAAAAGGCCCCCCACATCAGGGGGCCACCTACCTAGTGAGGGAGAGCCAGTCCAGCCAGCCCCTTGGTGGAATCACTGCGGATCTAATGGAGAAATCAGCCTTGTTGCCTGTGTGTGTGATTGAGGACACATCCACGTTGGAGAAAGACTAGGAGTGTGTGCAGAGAGGGATCCCGGATCCCTAGTGAAGGCTGAAGGCAGAGCTGGCATAGGAGAAAAACAAGGGGGAGCCCCTCTCCAGGGCCGTCTCGGGAATCATTTGGGGAGTCTTGGGTCAACTAGAGGAGAGGGTGCAGACGTGGTGCAGAGGCAGTTAGGGCCGGTGTTTTGACACAAACAAGCCTCTAAGAGGAAGGCAGTCAGTAGCCCTGGCAGTTCAGCACTGATGAGTTTGGCGGCTAACCGCAAGGTCCACAGTTCGAAACCACCAGTCGTCACTCCTCAGGATAAAGACCAGGCTTTCTGTTCCTGTGGAAAGTTGGTCTCAGAAACACACAGGAGCAGTTCTACCCTGCCCTCTAGGCTCGCTGTGAGGGGGCATCGGCTGGACGACAGCCAGTGACTGAGAGAGGAGGGATTGATTTGGCCACGTTCAAACAGAGAGATCCTTGATTGAATTAAACCTCAAGGTACCGAATCACAGTCCAACAAGGGGCCTGAAGGCTGGGCTGAGGACTCAGAGACAACAGATGACCATGTCAAAGGTGGTCCGTTGATGGAAAGAAAGGTGGACAGCAAGTGTCAAGACGGCCACGTAGTAGGAAGTTCTTTCCAAACTACTCAGGCATCTCCATAAGCAATGTTTTGGTTTTGTATGTTATTGTTGCTTTGCAGGGGGTGCGGTGAGGTGTATATGCTCATGAAGGGAAATGGGGCCTCTCCCGGGATCCAGAAGTCGTTTAAATAAACGTGTCTCTTCCCCCTTCCCAGTTTTGAAAGCGTCCCTTCCTATATCATGCTTATTTGTTCAGGTGCCCTCTGACCTTTCGTCTCTTCTTCGGTGTCTTGGACAGGACAGTTCAGAGTGATTGGACCAGGGCACCCCATCCGGGCTCTTGTGGGGGATGAAGTGGAACTGCCGTGCCGGCTGTCGCCCGGGAGGAATGCGACAGGCATGGAGGTGGGCTGGTACCGCCCCCCTTTCTCCAGAGTGGTTCATCTCTACAGAAATGGCAAGGACCAAGATGGGGAACAGGCACCAGAGTACCGGGGTCGGACAGAGCTGCTGAAAGAGACCATTGGCGAGGGGAAGGTGAGCCTCAGGATCCGGAACGTAAGGTTCTCCGATGAGGGCGGCTACACGTGCTTTTTCCGGGACCACTCATACCAAGAGGAGGCGGCCGTGGAGCTGAAGGTAGAAGGTGAGTGGCACTATACATCCAGTATCATCGCTGGGTGGCCAGAGACCGCCCGGTGGATGGCTGTGACCCTCCCAATTGAGATGACATCCTACAACCCAGACATCTCACACTTGGACATCAGATCCATAGAAATCCACACATCTCCGTCCACAGGAACTCCTAAGCTCAGGAGTGCCCATTGCATCCACATTCAGAGTGGGAAAAGAGTGGAATCAAAGCCAGGCTTCCTAAACAGGGAAGGAACTGAGTGGATGCTGGAATCCATACCATGAGTGTTCTGCAACAATTGGAGAAGATTGTTTAGAGCTCTTCCAGGTGGCTTGGAGGAATTCCATGGGATATTGTTTACTGATAAAAGCAAGCTACAGAAAGTGGAGACCAAGAACAAAAACCCTGTGTTTGTGGGTATGTGTATATGTGGTTGGGGGGAGGCCTGGTGGCGTAGTAGATTAAACACTGGGCTGCTCACTGCAAGATCAACAGTTCAAAACCACCAGCCTCTCCTTGATAGAAAGATGAGTTACAGTCTCGAAATCTACAGAAGCGTTCTACCCTGCCTTATAGGTCAATGTGAGTCAGGATCTACTCTATGGCAATGAATCTTTAAGGCAGAGAAAAAAATACAAAAGGTTAACCACAAGAAAGTGAATCGGGATCACTGAGGGGGGAGACTAGGGGTTCTCATCTGCATTAAACATAATCATATTTATCCATTCAGATTAAATTATCTATATGGACATTTGTGGGCACACAAGAACATTTTTTAAAAATTTTAACAAAAAATAATAATATATTAGAGGAGGGGGGCAATAAAAGGGGGCTGTCGTCAAGGAGTTCAAAAAGAAAGACAAGGTTTGGAAACTGATTATGGAAGCAATTGTACAATACTGCTTGATGCGATTGAAGGATGGAATGATTTGGGGGGGGGAGAAAAGAAATGGGATGAACAAACGTAAACAATAATCAGTTTCTGGTTATTGTGTCCCACTAGACATGGACATGAACAATCTAGATATGCACATGGACTTATTTCTTTCTGTTTCTTCGGGATCCCGCTTTGTCTGTTGGTTGTAAGCAGGAATGTTCGCTACCACTAACACTTCAAATGGGTCAAATCCGCTGCAGGGAGTCCTTGGTGGATTTCCTGGTTGTGGGGGTAAGGCCAGCCCCCTACAACTAATCACGGTTTCAGTAAGCGCAACTGTATGGTTGAGATATATAAAGATTTTTTAAAAGATATGTAAAGACTATAATAAAGTCATAGAAAATGAGAGAGAGAGCAGAGAGAGTCAAATAAAGAAGTCAGACACATTTCATGGTAGCATGCTCACCTCCTGGCTGGCCGTGATTTCAACAGCCAGCTCTGCACACAGCATGGGCTGAGAGGGCAGGGGACAGAACGCAGGAGGGAGATTTACTGCTAACCGAGGCTCATATCTACTTAGAGGGCGTGATTACAGGTAGCCACACACAGGAAGGGGCTGTACAATAGGCAATATGAGCAATAGGAGGGGGATATACAATGGGCATAGGTGTAACAGGAAGGGGATGAGCTAGAGGTGTACACATAATGGGAAGGGGGGGGACTAGGGTATACATGTGACAAGAAGGGCGGACCCTAATTCATGATGTGGCCTAACCATGGTCACCCTTGGGTGCGCTTGGCCTCCCAGGGCTCTCCTTCAGGGAAACAATCTACTACTATCTTTATCAGAAGGGAGTGGGCCCTACTTATTATGGGATAAACAATGGTGCCTGCTTGCTTGGGGATGGCTGATAACCCTTAGGGAGAATAACCCCTGACCTACTTCTGTTGACCTCCAAGTGTAGTCATTAACCACATGTCGCAAGCAGCTAAGTTAGGCATATATTTGGGGGAGGCAACATGGGAGAAATCTTTGTTTCCCACACCTGGTGGTAGGTGGTCCATTAGATGAAGGGCAACATTGTCGGTAAACACCATCCAAGTGAAAAGGCCCGCGAACCAATGTGTGAGCAGATCTGGGGCAAGAAAGGGGCCGCCCACAGACCGACAGGCAAGAGATGGCCCATGGAGCTGCTCCCCCGGTGAAGTGACACAAGGCAGGGGTCACCAAGATCTGGAATTGATTTGACTGCTCCCCTCATCCTTTCTCCAGGATCTTGGTTCTCAATATGTTTGTCTGGTGGGTGATTTGAGAGCCCTGATTTTCTTTTATCCCCGACCTGTGGAGTTGAAAGGTGAAAGGGGAGCGAGAGATTGGAAAGATAATTGCTATTTGAAGAACAAATGTACTTTGGGGGCCCTAGCCTCAGACTGTCGCCAGATCAGCCTCCACCCAACCTGCAGAGCCAACAGCAGCCACACAGTCGCTGGTGTCTCCAGGGAAAGGGGGGGCCATGCTGGGGCCAGAAGACAGCGTTGCCTGCAGACGAACAGATCACTGCTTCTAGGGACAGGCTGCAGGACTGTGGGAGCAGCTGGTTTTATGGGGGGTGGGGGTGCAGTTCCTACTGCATGGAAGAACAATCTGATGTTTCTCCAGCTTCCTTCCTGATGTCCTAGCTGAGCACGTTCCTCCAGCCACTGAGAAAGGGAACATGGAAGGACAGAAGGAAGGGGGAGTGATGTGGGCAGGGGAGAAGGAAGAAGGAGAGGAAAGGAAGGAAAAAGGAGAGAGGAAAGATGATAGAAAACAGTAACACTAGAGCTTTATCTCACGCCAAAAACTCCCTGCCACCCAGTGGACAGGGACCTGCTGGAGCTCTCTAGGAGACAGAGCAAAACTGCCCCAGTGGATTTCCAAGACTGGAACTCTTTCCTGTAGAAAGCCTCATTTTCCTCCCAAAGAGCAGCTGCTATTTTCAAACTACTGACCTTGTGGTTAGCAGCCCAAAGGGGTAACCCATGCTGCCCCCAGGACTTCCTCCGGGAGGTTTAGTTTGGTTTGGTTCCTACCTCACCTAGGAGCCCAGGAGGGTTTTACGCTCGGGCCTGCCCTGCCTGGGGAGGGGAAGCAGAGGCAAAGGGGAGAATACAATGAAGCCATCAGACGATTCCAAGTTTACACCTAAGAGACTCCCCTGGACAGATTGAATGTTGTTTACTGTGGTGACTTAATCCCGAGCACAGGAAAGCCAAGAACGGGTCCGGAGGGGCTGTAGCTGTGACAGAGCTCATTGGGAGGGGTCGCTGGAGCTTTGGGTCCAAGGAGCAGACTCTTTTGGGGACTTACAGGGAAACCCAAGCACCCAGCTTACAGGCCTCCCCTTCAGGTGCTGCCCCTCCCACTCCACACCCAGTTGGTCCCCAGGCCTGAGACCTTGCTTCTTAGAAGCTCCACATGATCAGTTCTTAGCCTCAGGTTGTGTCCTGAACCCTCTGCGGGTTGCTAGAACTTCTTTCTCCAAAGAATGTTTCCTTAAGTATAAAAACAAAACTTGCTCATACTGAAATAAGGTTGTCACAATAGGAAGGTGACAGAATGTTTGGTGACCCATACTGAAATAAGGAAGAGGAAGAAGAATCAATGCATTTGAATTATGCTGCTAATGAAGAGCATTTGCAATACCATGGATGGCCTAAAGGCGCCCTGGTGGCCTGGTCACTCCGTGGGCTGTAAACTACAAGATCCGCAGTTTGAAACCACCCAGCCTTGTAGATGGAGAAAGATGGGGCTTTCTACGTGCTTAAGAGTTACAGTCTCATCTTGGAAACCCACAGGGGCCGTTCTATCCTGCCCTCCAGGGCAGCTGTGAGTCAGAATTGACTCGATGGCGGTGAGTTTGTTTTGTTTCTATTGACCGTCAAAAGAGCAAACAAATCGGTCTGGGGAGAAGTACAGCCAGCGTGCTCCTTAGAAACAAGGATGGTGAGCCTTCATCTCTTGTCCTTTGGACATGTGCTCAGCAGAGACCAGTCCCTAGAGAAGGACATCACATTGGACAAAGTGGGAGGGGTCGTGAAAAAGAGGAAGGCTCTTGGGATGATTAACACATGGCTGCAACAACAGGCTCCACCACACCAATTATCCAAGATAGTGTAGGGCAGGTTGCTGTGTCAGAAGGGACTCAATGGCAATAATTTAGCATTGAGGTAGTCAGTTCATTGTGCCAACCTGGCCGATAAACACATATGAAGTTAATTGAAAAGCGGAGGGAGAAATGGCTCGGTGAGCCTTGCCTTTCTAGTTTGCGGATCTCTTGCTTTCTGTTGGTCGGACCAGGGTGCAGCTGCCTTAGCCTGTTCCCTGCTTTAGCTGGCAAGGCTCACTTCCTGCAAGACATCCCTGAGGAGAAGCCACATGGACCTACCCCGATGCAGCCCTGGGTGCTGGAGCAGCCGTGTGGAGACCCCTGCTAGCACTGAGATGCGTACACATTCAGTGACTCGGCTTTCCTCCTGCCATCGGCGTCACTGCATCTGTTTTGTGAGATGAAGGAGGACTTTGTGGATTGGTGTTGGACATGTTAATGGGTTCATGTTGGACATGTGGGCTTGGGCAGCACTGGGTTGGGATATTTTCTTGATGTGCACTTACCCTTTATATAAAACTCTCTCTTATACATGAGTTTCTGTGGATCTGTTTCTCTAAAGTACCCAGACTAACACAAGCATCATCTCAAAAGAGTGGTGAACAAAAATGGTACTTTGAGATTTCTGCAACAACTCAAAAGATGCAGCAATCTTCGTGGCTTTTACTGATGACAAAGTCGGAGACTCTGCTCACATTGTGGCATGGTCCCTACAAACAGGATAGAAAGGAACACTGAATGTTGAAATTTAGTTCTAAAGTTTCTGGGCGGAAAGTACACGCAAATCTAAACACTTAAACACAGAAGATCCTCCGACTTCCTGTACCTCCGGTACGATCCTAGGTCAGCCTGGTCGTCTTTACTAATTAACTATTGCACGGTCTCTTCCACGCCCTGCCTGTCAGTTTGTCACACTGGAGAAAGACCTCATGCTTGGTAAAGTGGAGGGACAGAGATCGAGAGGAAGGCCGTCAACATGACGGAAGGACACAGCGGCTGCTCACACAGAGGAACAATTGATTGTGAGGATGGTGTAGGAATAGGTAGTATTTACTTCTGTTGTGTATAAGATTGCTATGGGTGAGAACCAACTGGATGGGTGGCACCTAACAATAGTGGCCTCTTAGCTGACCTCAACTGAGTAAATCAAATGGAATCATTTCCCCACCTGGATGCCTCAGTGCATTCCTTGGACTTGGGGATTACAGCTGAGTTCCTTGGCTGCTCCCCACACCATCCCAACCCCACACGCACACAAGCACATCCTAACGTACAACGTCAACATTCGAAACCATTAGGACTGAGGCAGGGCGAGGTGTGGACTATGGTGCCTTTCAGACCAAGTCAGCTAAGTATCAGTTCTTGGTCACCTCCTTTGAAGCTGTCATATTCCTTTCTTCATTCAACTAGGCCCTGTGCTGGGTGTTACGGAGACAGTTCCAGGTAATGATCTTGTGTCTTCCAGATCCCTTCTACTGGATCAGCCCAGCCGTGCTGGTCCTCATGGCTCTCCTGCCCGTGCTCCTGCTGCAGGTCTCCATGGGCCTCATCTTCCTCTTCCTGCAGCACAGACTCAGAGGTACAGGTAGAGGGTGTGCATGTGGTGGTGATGGTTGGAGGTGGCCCTCCCTGAAATGGACTGGCCTCCCAGGGCTCAGTCCACATCCATCTCTCTTTGATTATTTGACTCAGAGCTTCATGGCCCCATAAAGGTTTATAGCTATTTATTTCTCCGTGAGGTAGGGCTGACAGACATAGGATAGGCCCATTTTACAGAGGTGGCTACTGAGGCTTGAAGAGATCTGCTGACTTCAAGCTGACACAGCTCATAAGAGATCAAACGCCTGCCTTCTGGACCATTTCCAGCAGCTTCATGCACCTGAAAGTGTTTGAGCTTCAGAGCTGGGTAAGTAAGTGTAGGCTATTCAAGTTCAACAGAGCCTGTAAGTAAACACCACTTCCACAGAGTAGATCACAGGACTCAGGCTGAGCCATCCTTGGGAGCCCTGGTGGCAGAGTGGTGACCCGAGGGGAGCATCATCACAAGATTTTAATAGTAGGGAGAAAACCGTTTTTTATTTGACAGGTGCATCAAAGAGCAGAGAGAGATGGGAAACGGACTGACACACCATCAAGGCCACGCATCTGACGGAATCCAACCCGCCACAATCTATCTTCTTTATAGAGTTGGCTGTGGTTTGGTTCTAACAACAGGTGCAATACACATGCACAGCGACTCCTGAGATAAAAAGTGGATCTAGCAAGTCATAACTGGAAAGGATAAAGGAGATGGCTCCCTCCTATCGGCATATCTAGGTCTTGACAGGGCATACCCTTATGGCTACCATTATCTTTGGTGTATGGTCCTCCTGTATCTAGCTCTTCTTTGTCTACGTTCCCTGTCTACTCTGTGTGTGTTCCTGTTTCCCCAAGCAGCGTGCTCCTCCCTGCCTTCCAGGATCACCAAGGACATTGCTCAGGACTCCTGTCCTTTCCTGTCTCCTTGGTCTTCACCTTGGCTGCTAGGAGGTCAGAGTGGATGTGGGACACTCAGTTGGCATTTGCACTGATTTTAAGGCTTAGGATGAAACCAGGGCTCTGCTGTTCCTTTTAGGCATGAACTCATTGGTTACATGTTGGGCTGAGATCCACAAAGTCAGCAGTTCAAAACCACCAGGTTCTCCGTGATGAGGCTTAAGAGTTAGTCTTGGAAACTCACAGGGGCAGGTCTGTCCTGTCCCACAGGACCACCTTGAGTCAGAATGGACTAAATGGCAGTGAATTTGTTTTGCTTTGCTTTGGACCCTGAGCTTTCCATTCTGAGCCTTCTCCCCAAGCACCCCTTCAGGTTACTGCAGAGTGTAAGGCAGCGGGGAGGGCGTGTCAGGGAATATCACACTCACTGCCGGCAAGTCTGAGGGCATCCATTTCCACTCGCAGGGAGAATATTGTGAGATCAAGTACCCTAATTTGCAGCCACCACGGAGTACTTATTTCTCCCACATGAAAAAGGCCTTTCATTATGGTCCACTTCTCCAGCTCACTGCTATGAGTGGACATTGACCCATGGTGACCCTACAGCACAGGGCAGGGTAGTTCCTGAGGCTGTCACTCTTTACGGGAGTCTCGTCTTTCTCCTAAGGTAGTTTCCAACTGCTGACCTTGCGGATCGCAGCCCAACCGGTTACCACAGCGCCACAAGGGCTCCTCACTCAGTCCACATAAGCAAGCAGAAAGAGTCTAGTTGATGGAGCCAGGGAGACTGACAGTTTGAACACTGAGCAAAACCCTAACAGCTCTCCGAGCCTCAGTTAATGTGTCTGTCAAGGAGAGACATCCACCTTCGCCATCCCTCCTAAAGTGTAGGAATGGACACCTTCCAAGAGTAGTGTTGGCGAGGAATACTGAATGCATGCTGGACTGCCAAAAGAACAAACAAGACAGCTGTAGAACACAACTAAAATGCTCTTTAGAGAAGGGCAGGGCTTCGTCATATTTTCCTGTGCCATCAGGCAAGCAGGACTACAGGCCTGGTAGAGAAGAGGGCCAGCGGGAGCAGAGACAGGGCTCCATGAGAAGCCCTGACAGACGCCACAACGGCCTTTCACAGGCCAAGGACCATGAAGTAGGCACAGAACAAGGCATCACTCCATCTGCTACACACAACATCGCCAGGCATCCAAGACAACGGAAATGACGACGGGCAGTAGGAGGAGTCAAGGGGACAGTATGTTTAAAGGGCCTATTCCAGCGCCTGTCTCACATGAATTGCTCATCACCTATTTACCCCCTTGCCTCTTCATTCAAATGGGAATGTGGTGTGACATTCACAAAGTAACAACCAGGTGGGTGGAGTAGCTACCAACGGAGAACCTCTTAGAGAAAGGAGCCAAGGACAGTGGGGGAGAAGTAGGGGGATGCTAAAGATGCTTCCAGAAATAGTTCATACAAATGCTTGTGGAGCTGGGCATGGGAGGGGTCCATCTGCTGCCAGAGCAGCAGCCAACAGTTGCCTTTTTCTATTTTAGGAAAACTCCGAGCAGAGATAGGTGAGTTCCACACGCCTCCTTCTTCCCCTAACTGAGAAGGTCATTTTCTCTGACCATCTGCCCCTTACTCCCAGCATGGGAAATTCATTCGGTAAAACCCCGGCAGCCAGACCTTGTCTAAAGGCAGCAGCATTCCTCATCGCTGTTTCCAACGGGGGCAGAAGTCACGTGCCTTGTCCCGTTCCCGTTGAAAAAAATGTAAGAGATTAAATATCAAAGGAGAAAGGATCCCCACCCCACCCCCAGCCCCCCAATGGTTTGAGGGCCCTACTAAATGCATGTCCATTTGTCTTTTCAGAGAATCTCCATCGGACTTTTGGTAAGTGCCTGCGAATCCAGGCCATCTCTGCCCAGCTCCATGTTTCACTCAGGCCGAGTGGTTCAAAGGGTTAAACGCTCCATCACTAGCCAAACAGCTGGCCATTGGAACCCACTTAGAGGCCCCTTTTTGGTGAGTTAAGAACTTTCGGCTGTTAACCACAAGGCTGGCACTGGGAACCCACCTAGGCACCCCATGGAACCCAAAGCTGGTGAGATGCTGCCATCAAGATGACAGAATGACATTTTCTGGAGCTTCTCTACTCTGCCACATGGGGTGGCCATGAGCCAGAACCCACTCAACAGGAAGTAGTTGGTTCCTGTTCTGACCAGCCCTCCTGCGGCAGGAGGCGGCCCAACCCCCTAGGGTTTTGACAATGGTTCAGTGTCAAAATACCAGAGGGAGGACTGGGATTTTTTGTTTTGTCAAATGGTACTAGCAGAAGTCTTAACCCTCTTTAGCTGTCTAATGAAGCCAGAATAGTGCACATTAGACAAGGTAACATTGAATTGTAAGGAAACATGGTTTCCAAAATGTTCCCAAATTTATAGTATAGTGACATAAGCTTTGAACATTAAATAGCAAACCAAAATAGAAAGTAGCAGCAGGCCTAAGAACGGTGATGTCAAAATATTGATATAGATGTGTGTTGACTTCTACAACAGCTCACAGGGACTTGATGATACCTTGATTTCTTTCTTTTTTTTTTTT